AAATTCGAATCTAGTTTTGTGCACTGGTTTCCGCGTTATGTGCACTCGTGGTACCTGCTCATGGCTTCTAAAAATGAGAATCCGTTAACAAGCGCAAAAACATCAAGCGAAGAAGGCGAAAATGGCCGCTGCTGTCAGAGAGCAAAGTTGGATGTTTGGCGTCTTCTGTGACCTCCCTGGATCAGTTTCGAACTGTCCAACAAGTGGAAATCGCTTCAGCATACCATCGCGAAGCGGTGTGCTGAAGGACGATTTGTCCCTCTCTGGGTGCAACGGTCGATGCTAAAACGGCCGATTCTGAGATTTGGCTCACGGACTATTTAGAAGTGATCACCTACGAACCGGAACTTTCCCTGACCATGTAGGGCGAAGACCTGTGAAATGATGATGAAATCACATTCTTTATGACGTTAGAAATCTCTCATGCAGTTCACGCGACAAGTGCGTGCAGCCAGTGCTGCTCGCGAGCCATGCGCGCGCCAGTCAACACAAAGGGATCGAGCTAGCCGCTTTTGTCGAGCATCGACATGAAAACAAGGGACTTTTACTGTTGGACTATGTTCGGGATTGCAGGAGGTAAATTACAAGTGAAAGACGACCATGCTGTACGGGGCATATTTCAACGGCTTGCTGCCATTGCAACACTCCTAGGACAGTTTGTGGGGGTTCTCAGCAGTTCAAGCAGGAAATGAAGCTCATCTTACCTCTGCCATCATGATCTGTTCCGAGTAGCGGTCCAGGCACATTTGCGATGGAAGGCCGCGTATCGTGATGCAGGAAGCGTCATTATCGTCACAGGGCACGCGATCTCATCGTGAATCTTGCAAAAAAATTCAAAAACTGCGCTCAGGCCTTCAGTCACCTTTGCATCAACAGTCGCACCAAAAAAAATATTGGCGGCGCAAGGAGAAGCTTGTCGTTTGGAGAGACAAGTAATCACCGCTGCTTTTCCTTGTCAGAGTCAACACTACACTTTGTTCTGCGGCCTTGGGAGTAGTGCTGGAGTAGAAATTGTTGAGGAGACGTCGCGGAGTGGCGAGCTTTACTGCGCAGGTATGACTTTAGCCGTATTTCAGCATGGTCGAGTGGAAAAATTCAAAAAAGTTTATTTCAAGAAAACCAAAAAAAGGAAGATGGGGGACATGTCCTCAGCGCTAGAAGAGGTGTTCTACCATCTGCCGGTGTATAGTTCTGGCCAATTGAGGACGTAGCTGGCTGTTTTGCCAGCGCTTGTAAATTGGCTATTTTCAAGACGATCATTTGTGGCGTCAGGGGGTGATGGACCTCGCCTTCTGGGATGCTGGCGTGGATAAGCGGTACTACTCCAGGAACTCTTCTACGGTGAGGCAATGTTGGCTTGATGGAGTTTTGTTCATAGCTTGTTCGTATACGCTGTGTCGTGACTCGTTTCTAGACCCATAAATAATGTGATATTTCGGCCATTTTTGAGCGGTATGCAAATTTCAAGGTTCCCTTCAGAAACATTTTCAAGGGCTTTGCACAATCGATCCACAACCCAAAGGGAACCTACCTGCAAGTTTTGAGCGAAATCAGAGAGATCCACTTGCACACATACTTTGGTATTCTCAGACTCTTAATGCAAGTAAATATCTCCTGCCCTGACAGAAGTTTCAGTCGCTGCCCGGAAACACTTTCGGCCGGGTCTTCTGAAAGAAGAGACTTTTGGTGTTTAATCCGGAGCTCGTCCCCTTTCCACCCTGGCAAACGGCGCATCCACGACTGGGGGATATGACTATTGGCCTATGTAATTGTTCACGAGTTAGTTGAAGTTGAAGTATCGGAAGACAAACACCAGACATCAGATAACAGTACCAGTATATTGTTTATATGACTGCCGCGTGGCTTGCAAGTAACCGCTGATCCGCAGTGGAACCCATCCTGCATCTGTCTCTCACCGGACAGCCCTGTTTTACAAGCCCAGTGCATCCTATCAGGTTTTGCTGTCCTCTTGTGCACAGGTCTCTACTGTCATAATAGTCGCCAAATATACCAAACCTTTGTCACCAGCTTATTCCTGTATTCATGCTAAAGAAGGGAAAAATCGGCGTATAAATTTCAGTGTTTAAATGCCAAGGTGGAACATTATGCTTATCAAGACCCACCCCCCCCCCCCCCCGCACACACACACACACTCACACACTATAACTGCTTTGTAATGAGTATGACTTCTTAGTCTCAGCTGTACAAATGCCCTGTTTCACAAAACTGGTTCTTGTTGGGGTTGATGGGGGGGGGGGGGGAGGCAGTTTATGAACATTAGACACAATTCAAATAGTGTCGAACCAGATGAAAGCCAGGCACAAAACCTGCACCCGCTACCCTTAATACCTAAAACTCTACAAGGATAAAAGTACTAAACACCGGTTGATGCCTCAGAAACCGGCAAGCTGATGTTGATAACTTCGTTGTAGTTATTTTGAAATGTTCAAGTTCTAGACCCTCCAAGGCACACTATACAGGACCTTAGAAGGGCGCATAAATGTGGTCACTTGTAAATTTCTAAACATGTACATACGGTTCACTACGACCAACAACGATGCAATTCACTTTTCAGGATGGTTGCAGAGCGATCAAAAAAACTTCCACGCTGCTTTGGCAGTGGCGAAGGCTCGCTTGCCGGTGTACCCGTCGGAGACTATCATGAACAATCGACGGACTAATAAGTCATTTATCCTGTCTTTCTAAAAAACATGAGTTAATTGCGCCTGCACATGGATTAGTTTTTGACTTTTCTTCTGGGCTTTGAAGTTACTTGATTTTGGAGAAAAAAATTGACAACAAATAAAACAGCAAAGTACCCACGGTATTGCATAGAGCAAGCTCGGACGCATTGATCTGCTCTGTGCGGGTCATGGCGAACATGCTTGTACAGCACCTGGCTTTACGCTTCAGTGACTACCACCTGATTAGCTATGCTGGTGGTGAGCTACTCGCAAGGAATGCAGTGTCATCTGAATTGCGCAACATGCTACTTCTTGCAAGGGTAGATGGTGCAGTTGCGCAGGCCATTGAAACATCCAGTGGTAATCAAGCATGATACAATCGTAACTAGATATTTCTTGCATGTACCAGAAAAGGGCGTGGGACATTGACGATAGACAGCTGGTCCGCAGCTGCTTCTTCAGAAACACAGCCGGTCACAGTTCCTGTTCAACACAGGCTTACCAGTCTCTATCCCTCAGTTAGTGTGCTCCACATCATAATTAGGGCGCAGGGCAGCTGACCTGTTCCATGCACGTTCTCTGCATAGCCAACAATCGCATGGCATCATGTCCATTGAAAATCATCATACCTTGCGAATCGACCAGGCAAGCAGGTGAAAAGAAGCTGTCAAGCAGGAAGCAAAGCTGTTGACGAAGTGCAGGTCACACTTTTCGTATCACGGACGTCACCTGAATAATGACTAGCAGCGTATATGACCTCGAGGCACTAAAAGGCATGTCGCTATTTCCGAACTGTCGTTATTCAGATAGTGGTTATATCCGAAGTCGTATGTATACAGGTAGATGGAACTTTGCTCTGGGCATAAAAAATTGGTCGTTATTCGCGAATTGTTGTTATATCTGCAGTCGTCATATAAGCGCATATTATGAATGTGAGACCATCCGTGCCTGGCAAAGTGGTCTGTAGTACCAGGCTGCTCGCTAGTCTTTAGTTACAGATTTTACTGTAGCTCAAAATGTCTTGTTCAACTCAATAGGGTAGTGCTGTCAAAGGCAGGTGCAGGTTACTCCTCTCAGTATTGTTGAGTGAAGAAGTTTGAAGAAGTTTTTCGTGCTTATTACACACACAGCTGCGGCTCTAGATTGGAAATTTGGTCTACCTCAGTTGTAGGTGTGCGTAAACGAGTGCAGCTCAATCAGTTGTTGCAGCGTCTAGGTGGCCATGAAGTTGAGATCGTAGGTTGGCGGAGCTCCCTAAACCTCACCACCACTGCCACGATTCAGGTTGTGCGTGCTTCCCCTAGCTGCAGGTCATGTTTGGCATTTAAGTGATCTTTCTAGAAAAAAACTAAAAAACACGATATTCCTTAGAGCAAGCACGAACACCTTGATCTGCTCTGTGCGGGTCTTGCCCAAATGCATGCTTGTACAGTACCTGGGTTTACACTCCCGTGACTGCCACCTACTCAGCTATACTGATGGCGAGCTATTCGCAATGAACGCAGTGTCGTCTGAATTGCGCAACCTGTTGCTTCTTGCAAGGGTGTGTGATGCAGTAAAAGCAGACCATTGAACCATCCGTTGGTACTCAAACATGTTGGACAGGGGACATGGAGGATGGGCAACTGCACCACAGCTGCTCCTTTTCGCACACTATCCGTCTTAGTAATAGTTCCTGTTCGAAGCAGGCTGACCAGTCCCTCTTTTCTAGTTAGCATGCTCTACGTTACAATTGCTGCGCAGGGCAGCCGACCTGTTCCGTTCTCTTTCTCTGTTGCACTCCAGTGACAGCTCCTGACATCTGCAGGGTGACTCATGCACGCCACGTGCTCCGCAGACATCACGGTATAGTTTATGCAAGACAAACGACATGTGCAGAGAAGCTAAAAGGCGACACTAGTAGTAGGAGTAAGGGGCCAGTACTTTGCACGAAATCACACGAACAGTACATGATAGACGATGATGAGAACGAATGCCATCGGACAGATCCTTCTCCTTCATTTCTGGTGGTAAAAAACCAAGCAGGTGGTAATAAGCTGTTAAGGAGGAAGCTAACCAGAGATGTGCTAATACGTGGTGTTAACAAAAGACAAGTGCAGGGAAGCTAAAAAGCAACACTAGTATATGTAGTAGGAGTATGGGGCCAGTACCTTGTACGAAATCACACGAACAGTACATGACAGACGATGATGAGAACGAATGTAAGCGGACAGATCTTTCTCCTTCATTTCTGTTGGTACAAAACCAAGCAGGTGGTAGTAAGCTGGTAAGGAGGAGGCTAACCAGAGATGTGCTAATACGTCGTGTACTCTCTACTGTTGTATTAGCAGGTGACAAAAAAAAGCCGGTCACGGAGGGCTCATCGTACTTCTTTGTACCACGGACATCACGAGAAATCAGGACTACTTCCATGTAGCTCGAAGTCTCTTGTTCAACTAAAAGCGTAATGCTGTCAATAGTAGATGAAGGCTACTTGCTTCTTTGAGCATAGAGACGAGTGAAAAAGTTTGCAGACGAACTTCTCTGAGCATAGTGACGAGTGACCAGGTTTGCAGACGTTTCGCATCGAGACACGAATGGCTGCATTGCAGATACCGGTACAGTGGCTGTACATTGGGATTTTGGTCTACCTGAATTATGGGTGTGCACGAACCTGTGGCGCGCAACCAGTCGGTAAGACATTATCTAACATAACGGATTAGGTTTACATAACTTCGACAGTGCCGTCGACACTCACCACTTTTGTCTTATACAATAGTCATCATGAGAAAACCTCTACAGAAAGAGAAGTGCTAGAAAACAGTTAACTGAATTTAGGGACTCTTTGGGGCTGCGTTGCAACAGCCGGTATGGAGTCACAGAAAGCGTAGGTGTGTAAAGAAATAATTATTGAGCTATCGTTTGATTGATTGATTGATTGATTTTATTTGGATTCCCGAGACCAAAGGAGCCGGTGTACTCAATAACAGGGCAGCGAATGGTTGAGCTGTGCTATGTGACAATGTAGTGTGTGCGTGGGGTGGTGGTGGTGGGAGGGGGGGTGGGGGTTGCGGAGGCCCAATTCAATGTAAGGCCGGGGATGGGAGGAGAGAAGGTATGCGGAGAGTCAAACTCAGAAGAGGGAGGAGAGAATAGCTGAAGTACGCGTTTATTTGTGCGAATTGAAATAAACCAAACAAACAGCAAAACGAGTACACAAACTCGCGAGAATAATGAGGAAAGAAGCACTGAATTGAACTGCTGAAGTACATAGCTTTTCTCAAGGTTTGGAGACTCCACTGTAGCCAATACTTGAATCCATACATCCTGTACACACACCTTGTACACACTCTCTCTAACGGTCTCTAGGCTACACTGCAATTGATATACATAAGATCAAATTTTCGGGCAAGGCCTATCATCAGGAATAAGTCTACTGTAGACAAAACAGGGGTTTATATATATGTGACAAGTACTAGTGGCCAAAGGTGTGATGGTATAGCGTAAAATGTTGCAATACCACAGGAAGCGAGAATATTCTGTGTGATATGTATGAAGTGAAGATATGGTGCAGTGATAGTGCAAGATTACTAGTGTCAGTACAAAACAGAAAAATACACACTTCTAGCAACACTCACGCACACACACACACACACACACACAGTGCACAAATTCTTGCACAAATTATGACAGATATATTTACAGGTCACCCAACAGTCGCCAACCATTGCCATTGTTCACTGCCGGCTTCCTCTTCCTCATGAATAGTGCCTCCATGATTCTGCGGTCAACGTGTGACCGTTGCCTCCTGGCGAGAACTTGTAGATGGAAAAACGGCGAACACCGCGGTGACGATGGGAAGGTGTGCTGCTTTCGTCGATAATGCTGCTGTTGGGTGACGTGTAAAATATCTGTCATTATTTGTGCAAGAATTTATGCGCTGTGTGTGTGTATGTATGTGCGTGAGTGTTGCTAGAAGTGTGTATTTTTAACAGGACAATTTGCCGTGTCCTAACAAGCCATTCTATGTACTTTGTTGTCCAAATTTCCCCTATCTTCATACTTTTTAAGACCCAAACCTGATTGTAAATCTTTTTGAAACAGACGATAGTGGTTGGACATTTAAGTGCTCGATTTCCCTGACTACGTGTAGCACGGCCGGCATTAAGAGGACTGAACATATCGGTTAGCAACGTGCTGCATTTACCCTGAAGGCAGCACCAAGTATAGCCAAGGAGCTTGTGGCAGTACATGAACAGGAGTAACTTCTAGCAAGCACAAGCGCAATTGGCAATACAGCGGCGCAGATGGGGATGCAAATGGAGCATTGTTAGCACAGCGGACTGCGCGCTTGAGTAGACGCTCTAGGCGTTCGAGCTGATGTGAGGTGAGGCCAGCATAGAAACAGTTGCTAGCATAAAGGAAGCCAGGAAGGATCAGGGACCTCAGGTACGTGATGCGAGTATCGATGCTGTAAAGTGCGCGAACGAGAACGCCCGCTTAACCCTAGAACAGCCAACGGTGTCATTTGACACCGCGCGAGTCAAACTTTTGCAATAACCGAAATATGGCTAACCAGAATAAGCTCAAATCTTGTGACTATTCCTAATTTTGCTTCCTCTTTCGTCTGCCATAAAGCTTTGATTTGTAATTGATGAGGTACCATAATGGCGAGTACGTATACCTAGAACGGCCAACCAGTGTCATTTGACACCTGCACTATAAAAAGCCATTATTGCAGCTAGATGGAAACAATATGAACACATTTCGAAGGTGTCGGCCATATCGAGTTGCTCGTATGCCAACCAGACAAAAGAAAGGTGCATGGGCAGGAAAATCGCTGAATACAGGACGGAATATATGATCAACATACAACCGTCAGGCGAGAATCGCGAATTTGGGGCGGGTAAACATTAGTGCACAGATTACACAAACACCCTTCACATAATGTCCTTGATACTGCTTATTCCCTTTCATTTTCCTGTAAATTGCCCCAGAGGAGCCATCGCGGTCTGACGGCCCAGGAAATACTAAAATGGATGTAGCCTATTACCATGCATGAATCTGATGACCATGAAAGCGAAATTGCCCACTTTATCTCTATTTTATGGCTGTTCAAGTGTAGTGACCATTGGCAGTGGTGGATCTGTTCTGTCATATGAGGGCGTATCGTACGGTCACAACACCTGAGTACCTGTGGATTCAGAACATATTGAGGTTTACGAGCCTGCAGACGGAGCGGACGAGGATTGCGGGATAGTCCAGACAGGGAATTGTCAGAAACAGTTGCAGGAGTTGTGGAGACCCCGAATTGGATAGTGACAAGGAAGAGGAATCGCAACTCTGCAACCTGGAGATGGTACACCGCATTATCGCAAGGATGGTGCTGTGTAGATAATCCTTTCTAACTACTTGATGAGCTAAAAAGGCTCTTGAACCAAACCTCTTCCTCCCCCTCTTCAGGCTAAACGGGTAGGCAGCCGCTGGGATGCCTTCTCTCTCTTTATTGGCCCCGGATGCTGCAGAATGTGATTGCTAAGTAATAATTGATAACTTCATCATCAGTGCATTACTGATCGAGAAACTGTTGGAGAAGAAAGAGTTGCAGTACGAACCCCTTTGGTAAATTGAAGTGAACTATCATCTAACTTCATTCCCAATAATTGCGGATTGGATTTTGTTTTTCAAGATTACATTGTAGGATGCAAACACGGTAGGCGTAGAAGGTTGAAGCAGCAATAATTATCAATGGTCCGCCTAGTGTAGACCACCTAGAGCCATATATTTTACATGGTGAGAGTAGGAAGCCCCCCATCGTCCAATTCTAGCAAAAGACGAGATATGTCCTTGACCGTTTCGATCGAATGTGGTGGATCTACTCAACAAAGACTATTCCAGAAGATGTCCCCCTGCAAGGCGGTTACATAAATGAATAGATGTGACAGGCATCAAAGCCTTCACAATGTCCCAGACCTTTGCTAGTTCATGCACATCCAGAAAAAACTCATTCCTGCACTGGTCAATAAGCTTGTAGATAGTCATGGAATCTAGTTGCTAAGTGCCAGCCAAGGAGAAGAGAAGGGTATACCTCTTGGAAAGAGTCTAAAATGCAGTCGTTACTTGCCTTATCTTGAAAACATGTCTAGCAGCATATGTGCCAGTTTGGTGAAAAAATGATGCTCATAGTCAGTCCATGTTTGTACTTGTTACTGTGTATCATTTATCGTGACGGTCGAGTAATCCGATTATGCCAAAGCACATATTCCCGAAAAGCAGTTCCTTATGTGCCCAGTGATGTTGACATATTGCGTGTTATTGTAACTCTGTGATTATAAGAAATTCCTATGCAAGTAATTGAAGTTTTGCCAGTAAATTAGTTCATCCTTCGCAATTGCCGTTTAGCGTGCATTGTATTTTAGTTGCGTATAGCCAACAATAGTGTCTGGGTGAATCCTAAAGTGTTGGGTACATCATAAATGCCGCTAGTGATAGCCAGCACTGAAAACAAAAACTATAACAACCTATATCATAGGTCCTAGACATGGAAATGTATGCAGGTGTCAAATGACACCGTTTGGCCGTTCTAGGAGTACTGAAAGTGGTGGCCGTCCTAGGGTTAAATTCGGAGAGAGGGTCTGCAGAGGTAATGCTCGGGGAAGTCAATTCAGGAACTTTCCAATCTTGTGAAAATAGAGATTGGAAATTACGCGGCCATGGTATTAAAAACAAGTTTATTTGCGCTCCGAGCCCTGCCTGATCGAGGGATATTGATCGTCGCTACGTTATCCGGGTGTTTGTAAATTGAGAAGAGAACAACAATCGTAACTCAGCCGGTTCTTATTCGATTTGCACAATCGAAGTATGTTTATCAGATTTTGATTGCGACAATCGTCGAAGCGATAGGACCTTTGAGTTTTGGCGCTCAGCGGCTACACAGCTTCACACGGCCAGAACAACTATTTTGCGCAATGCGTGGGCCCTCGGTTTTCATTCTTTCTGCATTTTTGCCACTTGGTGACTAGCGAGAGTGTGCGCAATAAAATAGAGATGCGGGCAAGGAGAGTGGAATGGCTGGTAAGCGTCACTTTCTTTGACTTTCGAGACTGCGCTATGACTTTGCGACAGATTCGCTATATGGCTGGTGTACGACCCTGTGGAGACTTGTGCTTTTGTTCATTGTTTGTCCCGTGCCTTCCGGTTGTCCAGGAAGGCAAAGATCTAGTGAATCAGATAATCTATGCCAGAGTTACGAATGTTTTAGAGGTGTTTTTTTCAGTAGAAAAAGACCCATGTTCGCTTCTCGACAGGTGGCAGTACTCTATTGTGGTGGCAGGGTGAAATTAAACACATCGGCATACGCAATTGAGACAAAAGATGGGTCGGGCTAGACTTTATTCACTGGGATAAGTTAGTTCTGGTGTTGTGACAGCCGATGATTAGAACGAATGTAAACGGGCAGGTCTTTAACATCCATTTCTGTTGGTACAAAAGTAACAAAACCAAGCAGGTGATAAGACGCTGTCAAGCAGGAAGCTGACCAGAGATGTGCTACTGCTGTACTAGCAGGTGCCAAATCCAGCTGTTCACGGTGAGCGGATCACACTTTCAGACATCAGCCTCTTCTACGGGCCAAACCAGAAATAGTTATTATGATTATGTACGTAGCATGTACAGTACTGCGCAGTAACAATAAA